GTATGTGGCCATTCACACATGCACTCCCAGCTCTGGGCCTCTTGGGACCTGAGCCATTGTAAACACAGATTGCAAGCTGCTGTGGTATTTTCCCATAAAATAATGAGACCATTGTTTTAAAAGGGTTGACTTTTTATTAACTACAAAGGGATAGATTAAAGGCAAGACAGAAAGGAACTTGGCAATCAAAACATTTGTCAACTCAAATTACTTCAAATATGTACTTTGGTAAGTGCTAATTTAACAATTGCTAAAATGTTTGATTATTAAGATGTCCTATTATGTCTCATTCATGGCTAGCAAGAAAGGGAGGGCTGCACTAAGCATGGAGCAAAAAAACAGGGGAGGAAGGCTTATGCTAGGGACCTGGACAAATGGAGGGGCTGGGAGGTAACAGGTGTTGTAAAATAGTCAAAAGTGTTTAATACTCAGACTATCAATGGATCTTGCTCTATTGGAAAGAAGAGATTTCTTTGCTTTTAAAAACCTTTATTTCTAAGGGTAAAAGGTACACGGGATAACTACAAATAAACATAACACTAACAGCTACATTTTCTAAGCTGTCTATAGTCTAACCTAACACAGAGATAATGGAGAATCTGCCCTTCTTCTCGATCCCTAGAAAGGAAGCCACCTGGAGCAAACAACCAATCACTTATCACAACAGAAGTTACTTTTCCCGGGCTAATTCGCCATAGGCTCAATGCCAGGTATCCCTTCCAGGTCAGTCTAAACAATAGCAATACTAGGCAAACAAGTTAACCCTATAATGACTGAATTGTCAGACCTTGAAAAACCCGAGTGCTCCAACAACAGGAGCCAGAGAACCCGGGGATCAGAAGACGGGCTGTGGGAGGGACAAAGGAAGGCTCCATGGCAGAACCCAGGAGCAGTGTCAGAGCAATGGGGAGAACGAATGTGGTAGGATCATGGGTCATAATGAGAAAAAGAGGAAGAGATTAAGAAATGAGATTAAGAAAAAGGGAGAAGTTCAACAGTTTGAGACCCGAGTGCTGCATGATGGAGTGCTGCATGATGGAGTCTCTGGTCCCAGTTCCTGCCAACCTAGCAGTTCGAAAGCAAGAAATTGCTAGTAGATAAATAGGTACCACTTCGGTGGGAAAGTAACAGCGTTCCGTGCACCTTGGCATCTAGTCATATCGGCCACAGGACCACGGAAACAACTTTGGACAACACTGGCTCTTCGGCTTGGAAACAGAGATGAGCACCGCAATCCTAGAGTCAGATTCGACTGGCTTTTGAGCAAGGGAAACCTTTACCTTTACCTTACTAATTCAGAAGAGCACATTCTGTCTCCTTAATGGTGGAGGTAGTTTAGATGGGAAAACCTGACCTGAAGTGTATGGCTGAATCCAAGAAACCTTATATACATAATTTCCTTACCTTTTGGGTGGTAGCTGTCCTGTGATAGTGGAGTAAAATTAAATTATTTTATTTGTTCATTTCAGGATTCAAGAAATGTATTTCCTTTGCCAATATTGGTTTCAGACAAAGCTAATTGTGACCACAGATTGTGCTGATATCCTGATTAGCTCAAAAACAGTGTTTATAAAGGTGTTGGGGATCAAGTCCAGGATATGAGTTTCTGCCCTTATAATTAATTCAGGAAGGAAACAAGTTTGCTTTCTCTGGGGCATTGTTTTAAGAATCCCTTTAAGTCTTCTGTAATATTCTGTAATATTTGTCACAAACACTGACATTATCTCAGCAAGTCAGGATTGTCTGTTTATGACATGAGCTTTCTGGCAAAGTATACATGGAAACCTTATTTTGCATTTTAACAAATTATGGCAATTATTCACCTTGAGTATGATCAAGCTGCTTGATCAAGCTATTGATTTGGAGTGGAGACCAATGCTCCGTATAAGCTGTGGAGTCTTGTGAGCTACTAGCTACTAGCATTAAAGTTACTAGCTACTAGCATTAAAGTTGTGAGCTACTAGCATTAAAGTTGTGAGCGAGCGATTTGGCTGCTGCATAAATGGAGCCATCCTTCCTGAGCTAAGACAAAAATATGTGAGCTGGAGGCTAAAAAACTGTGAGCTAGCTCACACTAACTCAGCTTAGAGTCTAGTCTTGATGCTATAATGGCATGGATCCAGGTGGCCAGTCAGCCATATCAAGGTAGACTAATCTTACTGTGTGATGCTAATAGGAATACTGTGGGGTGTATTTCAGCAAGGCATTTGACAAAGCTTCCCATAACATTTTGATTAGAAAACTGGTTAAATGTGGATAGATGGATGGATTCACAGCTGACTGCATAATCATACTCAAATACTGCTTCTCAATAGCAGTTCATCTGTCTGGAGGGATGTGTCCTATGCCTGGCACTCTTCAGTATTTTTATCAGTCACTTGAATAAAGGTGTGGAGAGAATCATTATAAAAATGCAATTGGTGCAAAACTGGGAGGGGTGGTTTAAACCTGAGAAGATAGAAATACAATTCAAAATAACGAGTTGGAAAGCTAAACTGAAACTACAAAATGCCAGTTTGGTGTAGTGGTTAAGAGCGGCAAGACTCTAATCTGGAGAACTGGGCTTGGTTCCCCACTCCTCCACATGAAGCCCAGCTTGTTGACCCAAGCAGTCCAATGGTGGCATGATTGGCTGTCATCACTGGAGGATGTCAGACAGAAACTGGAAGTCCATCTGATGCTTAACTTTGGGTTTTCAGCATTGTGTAGGGAGTTGGAGTAGATGGCCCTAAGGCTTTTTCCATCTCTGTTGCTAGTGTTGCTCCTAAACATGTTTACTCAGAAGTAAGTTGCATTAAGGTCAATGGATCTTACTCCCTAGTGTTTAGGATTGCATCCTAAATTGTGAACAATTCATACTATTAAAATCAGTGGAGTTTAAGTACACCTACACATTGGATTATGGGCATTGACTGTATCCCATTGGCCTATGTTTATTGTTGTTCAATCCTTTATTGTCATCTTATATCTTACACTTCTTTTACCAATTCATATTATAATACCAATACATATTACCAATACATATTATAATACATATTGCTGTGTTTCCCTTCTGCCAGTTCTTTGCACCTGCTAGTTTTCCCCTTTATGTGTTGCAGGCAGGGATGGGCACAAATTGTGTAATAAGCCAAAACTCATGCTGAATTCTGGCCAGATCGGGGCTAAGGAGACAACATTCAGCACTCATATGGTCTCTGAAGAAATCTCTGAGCTTTGGGGCGGCTTGGAAACCAAACCCACCCAGAAACTCTAGTGCAAAAATGCTAGACAATGGTGGGGGTGGTGTTGTCAAGCCTTGGAAACACAAATAGGGACCCTCCAAAGCTTGACAGGCACTGCTGCCTGCCTATAACAGATTCCCATTTGTCACAATGGAACTCAGATCCATATAAGTGTAGGGTGAGCGCACATTTTCTTTGTTGGCATTGTGGTTTTGGATGGACAGGGTGTACTCATGAAAGAGCTTTGCTGCCGAGCATGGTGGGGAGATTGCTTAGCAAGCTTACTCTGTCGGGGGCTAGGGGGCTTTGCTTTCCTTAGGTTTCTCTGTATCACGATTCGGTTTCTGTTTCTTTCTTTCTTTGTTAGCAGTGAAGGGTGGAAAAATTGGGACTGGAGTCCTCCTTCACATAGCAAGCATTTTTGTTTAGCGGGATTTTCCTGAATGGTGTCTGCTTCCTTGGTGGTTTCCCTTTTTCATTTCATTTTATTTACACACACACACACTTTGGGTTACAGTAAGGTGAGGGATTGCTCTTTGGGTATTTCTTTTGGTCTGCTTCTGGGGGTGGACTTCAACTTAGTTCTCTGCCACTTTCTCCCCACACTCACACTGGGCTGCTCTTTGTTTTGGGGTGATCTGTGTTTGTCTTTACTGCCCACTGACTTTACTGCTCTCCATTTGAAACCCCACACACACACTGACCTGCTTCTCCTTGGGGGGAGATCTGTGTTTGTCAGCCTGTCTCCCTTGTTCCAGAGTTACTTCCCTTTACTCCCAGCTCTCCATTTGAAACTCCCCCACCAACCTGTCTCTCCTTGGGGGGTGATCTGTGTGTGTCAGCCTGTCTCCCTGCACTCAGCCTGCTTGGGGGACTTGTTCCAGTCTCGGGAAGTGACTTGGAGTGATATGAGTGCCCAGCTTATTTGAAACCGCCCCCTATCTATCTTCTCGTCTGGGGGCCATCAATCTGTGCCTGTCTGCCTGCTGCCCTGCCTGCCTGCCTGCCTGTTTCCCTCTCTGGCAACTGACCCACCTGGGCTGTGGTTGAATTGGATGCTTGCTTGGTCAGGTGTTCAGCACCATGAGAGGGGGTGGAAGGGGTCATACTTGTGGCCATTGGATAATACCATCAATTTCCCCTGTGCTGAGTGGTCATGGGCGATGAACACAGCATCCCCCCCCCAGTGGAGGATACCCCCAGCACATCATCAGAGTCTCTGTACCAGTGTTCCCTCTAAGCTGAGTTAGTGTGAGCTAGCTCACAGTTTTTTAGCCTCCGGCTCACACATTTTTGTCTTAGCTCAGGAAGGATGGTTCCAAAGCGAACTAGTTTATGCAACAGCCAAATCGGTTGCTCACAACTTTGATGCCAATAGCTCACAAAGTAGAATTTTTGCTCACAAGACTCCGCAGCTTAGAGGGAGCATTGCTGTAATGTACTCCGCCATGACCACGTGCGCGACCGTTGGGCCATGCGGTCAGGCCAAACAGCAGAGCTTCGCTTCCAGGAGAACAATAGTCCAGCGGATCCTAGCCCGCACCTATCAGAGGGCCAGGTCCGCGGCCGAGAGCCCATGGGACTCTCGGCCACTGTAAATAGCCTATAGGGCCTTAGTGGGTGTGTTTTAGGTGGTGGGGTTCTGAGCATATAAGCCGGCCTGCGAACCAGCTTACCTTTGTCTTGTTCCTGCTTAATAAAAGTACTTTGCTGAAATCACTCAACGTTCTCGGTACTTTTCAATTGCTCTGCACCCACTTCCCCTGCTCTGTCACATCCATGGTTCTCTCAACTGCTGCTCAAGAGTTTTTGGAGTTGACACCTAAGCTGCAGCATGAAACTCTGTTTGGAAGGGAGGATAGTGATGGCAATGACTTGGAGGGTGATGGTGGTGATGCATCCTGCCCTTTCACACCCCAAGATTCCCAACTCCCTTCTGCTCATGCTTCCATTGGTATGTCCCCATCTAGCATTCCCCGACCCAATGCCAGGAAGCAGCTGTGCATCCTACTTGCTCCAACCAGGGTTGTGGGGACACAGTTCCATTCCGCCACATGGAAATGCTTCCATTGGTATGTCCCCATCTAGCATTCCCCGACCCAATGCCAGGAAGCAGCTGTGCTTCCTACTTGCTCCAACCATGGTTGTGGGGACACAGTTCCATTCCGCCACATGGAAATACCTCTGTACCCTGGGGACTGACCCATGCATGCATGGTGGAATGCCAGTGTGCTGTACTCATGTCTGGAGGGGCAGGGAACCACAACACCTGGCCAGCACTGTTCTCTGGAGGCACCTGCAAAGGGCACACCCCAGTTTGTCGCTGCTGGAGGAAGGAGTGTCGGTCACTAGTGGGAGGCAGAAGAGGCCCACTCCCACTCAGCAGGGAGAGGTGGGGAAAGAGCAGGCCACTCAAAGAAGGGCTCCAGGCACTGTGGCTGGGATTACAAGGCAAGAGGTCATGCTCACAGGGACGCAGCCCGTGGCAGGAAAAAGAATCAAACAAAAGTGAGATACACAGTATGGAATATGCAAAAAAGCAACAACCATGAATAACCTGATCATTTCATCAGTGTACAATGCATGCAGTAAAATTTGAAAACTACATAAATTAATGCTTTGTATTACCTATGAATTTTATGAATTCTCTAAAATATAATAACAAGACAAATATGTAACAATTCAATTATATCCAGTCATTACAGACAACCAAGGGGAATACAAAGAAGCTCAAAGTTCCATCAGGTGCAAAAATGTTTCCAAAAATAATTATCAGATGATTTCTACTGCACTGGAGATCCAACAGGAGCTGATTCACCACTCTGTACTATATACTGCCTCAACCATAGTCCTTGGCTGCTGCAGTCCCAGCCATGGTCCCAGTCAACGGACAAGCTAGCTAAACAAGACATATTTCACCAACACTTTCTCGAAGATGGAGCCACATTCCAGTAGAAGCCAACACAATTCTGGAACTTACAACATATCTGTAAAATACTTCTACAAAGCAAATTGCTTAGACAATTCTTCAGACTAACTGATTGAGATAATTCCAATCAGTGGCAGGAAAAAGGGCAAGGGGGAGGGCTCAGGAAACCATCACTTGCCTCATCGGTGAGATGATTGCAATGGATGGCCAACCATTCTCCCTTGTGGAGGGTGTGGCTTTTTGCTAGCTGATGCACCATGTGGCTGCCTGGTACACCATCCCCTCCAGGAGGACCATGATCCAGTGAGTATTGTCCTCCATGCACCACTCTGCGGTGGAGCTGGTCAAGGTCAAGCTCTCCAAAGCACAAGGCTGAACCATCCACCTGAATGCAGACCTCTGGAGTGGCTGGCACCACAGCTACCTCTCCCTCATCTGCAACAGTGAAGGAAACAATTATCTCCTGCATAATTATCCACTGCAAGTTTGATGCCTCCCCTCTACTAGGTCACCTGGGGTCTGTCCTGTCTGTTGTATGGCCCAGAACTCACACTTGACAACGTTTTCCCAGGAAGCACATTCCTGGGGGTACCTTCTTTGGTGGGCTGTAACTTGGACCCCCAAGTCAGGGCATATAGGGGGCATCCTGGGAGGGCTGCCATGAGTTTGATGCCTCTAGGTTGCACAGGGCTCGTTCTATACACTCCTGAACCCATGCCTGACATCTTCCTGGAAAACACTTTCCTAGGGGCACCTTGTTTCGGTGTTCATAACTTGGACCAGAGGTCATTTCGGGGGGGAACGCGGGGGATCGCAGTTCCCCCGGGTGAGGTGTGGGGGTGGGGCACACGATGAAGCCCCGCCCCCTGCTTCCGGCTGCCCCACTTCCAGCCCTCATTCAGCCAGGAGGAGGCAGGAGAAGAGGGAGGGTAAGTTGCTTCCTCCCCGCCTCTCCCCACCCCTGCCTGTCTGGGGCCAGGGAGGGCCTTGGCGGGTCTTCCTCGCACTCCCGCCGGCCTTGCAGGTCCACCACCAGGCCCCTGATGTCAGGGGGTGTGGCATATGCTAATGAGTTATGCTAATGAGTTCCCCTAGCTCTTTTTCTACGAAACGACCCCTGACTTGGACTCTCCAAGTTCAATCCTAATGGAACTTGTAGGGCATGTAGGGGGACATCCCAGAGAGGACTGAAGCAAGTTTGATGCCTCTAACCTGCACAGGGTCAGTTGTATACACTGTAGAACCCACATGTGACATCTCCCCTTAAAACACTTTCCTGGGGGCATCTTGTTTGGGTGAAAGTAACCAGAACCCCCTAAGTCCAATCTGCATGTAACTTGTCGGGTATGTAGGAGGCATCCCAGGGGGGGTTACTGTGAGTTGGATGTCTCTAGCTTGCACAGGGTGTGTTCTATACACTCCAGAACCTGTTCCTGACATCTTCCTGTAAAGCACTTTCCTGGGGCACCTTGTTTGGCTGTCCATAACTTGAACGTCCCAAGTCCAATCCACATGTAACTTGTAGGGCATGTAGGAGACATCCCAGGGAGGTCTGACATGAGTTTGATGCCTCTAGCTCACACTGGGTTCGTTCTATACACTCCAGAACCCACGCCTGACATCTCCCTGAAAGGCACTTTCCTGGATTACCTTGTTTGGGCATCCGTAACTCGGACCCCCAAGCCCAAACTTCACCAAATTGTTGGGCCAGCAGAGGAGAGTCAGCTGGAGATTCCATGTGATTTTGGAGTCTGTAGGGCCCCAGGGGCTGCCTCTGCACCCTGCACTTCCTGAACCAGTTCAGTTCAGTAGAACAGCTGGGTTTGGGGTTTGCGTTCAGGTTCAGGACACGTCACAAACCCAAACCAGGATTTCCCAGTTTGTGACCATCCCTAGTTGCAGGAGCTTGTTTCAGCTCTGGTCTAGATAGTAATTACTTCCGTATAATTATTTCTAACAATTTTTTTTAATGCAGGAGGAGGAGAAGGGACTGCAGATTAAAATCTAAATACTTTAGAGATGGAGAGGTGGAGAGTGTTAGAGCAGCAACCAGAAATCTGTTTCAGGCAAGAGACTGGGAATACCATTTATATTTTAATTCTCTTCTCCTTTCCAGTGAGATGATGTGATGTCATATGGTCTCCTCCCACAGTGTAAACTAAGCTCCTGTCAAAGTTTTGCTGCCCCTGTGACAGAGAGAACAGTTCACTGTACTGCAGCTGCATTACCTTGTATGACACCCTTCAGCATCTTTAACCGTGCAAGTTTGGGCTTGAAAGCATGATTTCCAGGCTGGTCTTCCTACTCTTCTGTGGAAATATTTCACTAAACCTTGGAAATGCTCAGAAATTGCCAAGAGGCAAGTAGATATGTTTTTATTCTTTACTTTTGGGGAAATGTTTGGTCTTAATGAGGGAAACTTACTTTCTGTGTGTATGCAAGGATTAAGGATAATGTGACAGAGAAATGTGATAGAGAAATGTAACAGGATAAAAGAGTAAAGTCTCTATATCACACACACACACACACAGAGAGAGAGAGAGAGAGAGAGAGAGAGAGAGAGAGAGAGAGGTTTTAAAATCTTTGTACTGTATAAACAAATGATTAAAAATAGCTTTGGTGCTTCATGATTCCAACAAAGAAATCAGTATTTCAAACAAATGAAAATAAAGTTCTTGAACATTTACTTCCCATGCAAGTATGTGGGGTGACCTGTAAGTAATATGCACCCCAGCTTTTCAAAGCACGTTTTATTCATGCTTGGTCTATCTACAAAGTCTGTTTTGCAAAGAATTTATTCTGCATTACAACTTAAATTCATGTTTGGAAAGCTGTATGAGTCCCAAAAGCAGGGGACATCAGCAGACACTTGCCCTTGATCTCCTTCTCTGAGAGAAAGTATACAAAACCTGAAGTCACCTTCTTTCTCCACACCATCTGAGCTATGTTATAAGTACTTTGTTGCTGCACAAAGAACAGCTGTAATGTTAAATGGATAACACATTTATAAAGCTAATTCAAGCAGTACATTAGCATACCTTGGCATTAAAGCAGTACCTCACAACTCTTTGTGCACTGCATACTCTGCTATTGATTTTCTAGAAGTGCTTCTCTGTGGATGTTGTGTGCTTTGCAGAAGTGCATACTGTGTGCATATTATTTCAAACATTTATAGAAAAAAGCAGTGATTTTTAAAAAATTGTTCAGCTGCCAATGAAATGCTAAGTCACAGAACTATGTCCTTGATAGTTAAGGTCAAGATAACCAGCATGGGATGTGCTGACAGAAAAAAAGTATTTATCTTTGACCTGTAAAACACTCAATATGCTTTCATCTTGATGTTCACTGTGAAAATGTATATTATTGAATGTTTACCCCTTGTTTTAAAACAAACATTATGTTTCTTAGTCACCCTAATGATATTAATGGAGGAACTGCACAGTCTAAAATGTTGGCACTTCAGATAAGAAGATATTGTTTATGTGTAAAATAACACCTGAAATTCTGAATTCCCCAAAGATTAAAATAGTTAACATGGAGCAGCAGTTAGCTGTGTTACACTTTGGGGTGAAATGGTATATATTATTTGCCTTTGGAACATGGAACTCTTCCAACACTCAAACCTTGCAGATGGTTTTATTTGTCTTTCCTGTTCACTTTTGTGGGATGATAGCCATAACTATCTTTAACTATAGAATTCTGGCAAAGATAAATGTTTTAGCTTTTATGATGCAGTCAGTCTCCAGGAGTAGTCTTTTAAAACAAAGCAAAGCCACAACTCTAGTTCTCAAATTAAACTGCAACTGAAAAGCCTTTATATTATTTTTCTTGGGTTTCAAGTTATTCTCTCTCTAGCAGATGAATAAATATGTTCAGCTACTCCAATGTGGACAGCTCTACTTTGAGACTATTCTCACTGGACTCAACATAGCTATACATTACTTTCTGTCTTGCTTGTATTAGGATATTCCATCTAAGTGTTTGACAGAAAGTGCAGTCTAACAACTTCAAAATTTCTCATTTTG